GGTGGGGGATGGGGGAAAGATGGTTTGGAGTTGAATTGGTACAAAACCATGAGATTGTTTCTTTTTATCGTTTTTTCGGGTGGCTTTTTAAAATTCCTATATTCAAGGTAGCTTGAGAAGTTCTGGATGATACATTTAAGCAATCAGGATGACCCTGGTGCCCTGCAGATGGTCTAGCCCAGGAGTGAGGAACCTGCAGCCTCGAGGCTACGTGTAGCCTTCTAGGTCCTCAAGTGTAACCCTTTGAATCCGCACTTGAGGACCTAGAGGGCCACATGTGGCCTCGAGGCTGCAGGCCCCCCACCCTGATAGCCCAAGGCAATACCCCTGCTCCCAGAAAGAACCACCTTTCTCCCCTCCTAGGAGAACCATGTCTTTGTCCTTGGCCTGTCCCTCTGCCCCCAGCCCTTAGAGATGAGGAAGGCACCCCTGAAGATCTCCATAGACAAAAATGATCGGGAAGTCCTCTGATATGTTTGACCTAGGCCCTTCACCCTTGAAATATAATCCCTTTGTTCCCCATCCTGATTTCTTTTAGGCCTACCAGATACTTTCTTTTCCTTTGCTGCCCAGCTTCTTTTTAGGCAAACAGACTGGTTTCTCTTAGACCATCTAGACAGTTTCTTTCAGGTTCATTGCTGACTTTTCTAAGTCCTCCCATCTGATTTCTTTTTTTTTTCAATGTTTTAAAAAATTATTAAATGATTTATTTTCATATGCCCTGAATTTCCCAATACATGCCAACCACTCTCCCTCTCAGAGAGTCATACTTTGCAGCAGTGATGCCCAATGTTTTTTTATTCCATGAACCCCTTTTAATGACAACAACAAGCTGTGTTGTGAACTTGAGTGAATTCAATATACTATTTAATATTCTTTACAATTATTTACTGCTTAAGGTGGTAAATTCATCAAAGTATTTGACTATTTAAGTAAATTCCCAATTCCCAAAGAATTCAAGAACAACTAAGTGGGAATCACTGTTTTATAACAAAGATTTTTTTTTTAAGGAACGAAAACAGTTCAGCAAAACTAAGCCACACACGCATCAGTCCAGTCTGACAGTGTATGCACTGCTCTGCGCCTATAGCCCCCAGCCTCTGCAATGAATGCCTCCACCTGATTTCATTTAAAGCTCCTGCTTGAATTTTTAAATTTGTGTGATTGCATTTCAGCACTAGAATGACAACAAACAGGGGTCTCTTGGACTTCTCGATCCATGCAGGAATTCCTAAGGTCCTTATTCCCACCCCCAACCCTAATCCTGCTTCTGACTTACCCATTTTTGTCCAAGGCATTATCCTTTATTTTGTGTCCCATACAGGAAAACTTAGTGTTATCTTTGAAGATTTCCTCTCCATCACTGCCCATATTTAGTCACTTCACCGAGTCCTATCCATCCTAACCTCTGAAATATTTCTCACATCTGTCCCTTCCTCTCTAATCTACCAATGACTTTATACAGAGCCTAAGCTATTGCAAGAATTCCCAAACATGTTCTCCCATCTTTTTAATCTCTCTTCCCTCAAACACACAAACAAACAGAAGCCACCTCACCTTCATAGCACCGCCAGACATCTTCATTAATGCAGAGAAATAATCAGGTCACTCCTCTGCTCAAAACCCCTCAATGGCTCCCTATTATATAACCAGAAAAGTGCAAAGTCTTTTATTACCTGAAGTTACCTCATCTTCCCACCTCATCGGGTACTTCCCCCCTCCATTTAGTCTACACTGAAGCCCAACAGAATTATTCTGTCTCTCATACACGTTTTGCATTTTCCTGCTGCTTGCTTGTGCCTTTGCTCACCCTGTCCCTTGTGGTTGAAATGCCCTCCCTCCCTCCCCTGCCCCCAGCCTCCATCCCACTTGGCTTGTTGAGTTCCTACCCATCCCTCAGAGCCTTTCCCCTACAAAGTCTTCCCTGATCCCTTGAAATGAACTCCTTCAGCTAGCAAGTCACTTACACCTCTCTGATGGGCTTATCTGCCAACACTGTGCATGGTTGTTATGTGTATATGGGTCCCATAAGGACAGAGACTGTATCTTCCCTAAACGCTGTGCTTCGCACACAGTAGGTATTTAATAAATGTGAATTCAACTGTAAAACTTCAGAGCTGGATGGGACAGTATAGATAGCCATCTTGGCCACCTCCTCCCATTTTACAAACTCAGAAAAATGATGGCTAGAGAATTAAACTGACTTACCCAAAATCATGCAGCAGGTTAGTGATAAGAAATAAGTTTTGGACCTAGGACCTTTGTGTCCTGGGTCTTTGTTAGCACACAGACTTGTCGGTTGACAGGGCTCCCCTCCTGCCCTCATCTGTCTCATCATCCTCAGGGTGAGGGACCTTCAGAGAGGCCCTAAGAATAACTCTCTCTGGTTATGGCTATCCCTCAGGGGCCATGGGAGACCAGACCACCATGCTTGAAGGGGGCTCAGAGAAGAATGTTTATGCATCTGTGGGGAGCCCACAGCTGGCAGGGGCAACATTCCCTGAGAGATGTCGATGCTTTCTCAGCAAAGCTTGCATACCCCTGCTTGGTACCCCTTCCCGAAAAGACAACCTTGAAAGAGGTTTATTTCAGTCACTCAGCTCCCATGGCCCTCACCAAGTTCCTATCCCTTTCACTAAGCCCCTATTTCCTCACTAAGCCCCCAACTCTGACATTAATCCCTCATTCCCTCACTGAGCCTTAGCTACTGTCATCACTGGACACCCCCATCTCTTCGTTGAGCTCCCATCCTTTCTTGAAAAGGGGTCTCAGGAAAAACTCCACCTAGTTGGAAGACAGTATGAAATACAGCATTGCACTTAGGAATCAAATCCCAGGTCTGACACTAGACCTTCAATTTCATCATCTTCCTCTCTTCCCCCTTTCTTTCCTTCCCTTCTATCTTCTCTCTGCCCATTGGCAAACTTATCCAATGCCAGCGGCACCATTTTCAATGCTACATAGATAACCCCTAAGTCTGCATCTCTGGTCCCCTGAGCTTTTCCACTTTCCCCCTGGACATCACCACCTGAATGGCCTGCCAGCAGTCAGACCCAACCAAAACAGAGCTTAGGATCTTCCCTCTCACACCTGGCCTTCCCTTTAACCTCTCTCTTCTTCCACTGATCCAGCCACCATCTGTTCCCAGGGACCCAGTTTATAAATGATAAACATGATAAAATGATATTGAGTTATCTTCAATTCTTCCTTCTCCCTCACCTCCCATATACAATCCATTGCCAAGTCGATCAATTTCATTTCCTCATTTCCCCATCACTAAACCCAGCCTAATTTAGGCTCTTCCCAACCTTTCCTGTGATATTATAATAGCCCCTTTAACTGGTCCCCTATCTATAATCTTTCTTTTTTATCCCATCCTTTGCCCTGCTTCCTGAATAATCTTCCTAATGTGCTTTTTCAATTCTATCACTCCTCTGCTCAAAACCTTCATGGGTCCTCCATTGCCTAGTGGAGAAACCACAAAGTCCTACAATGAGGGGATTAGACTGCATTACCTCTAAGGCCTCTGCTAGCTCTGGAACCTATGACCTTATTTATGACCCTAACATTCAAAGTTCTTCACAATCTAGTTTCAATTTCCTTTTCTAATTATCTTACACAACCTCCTCGCCTTCACTTATTCTACGTTCCAGCTAAACTAAAATACGACCCCCTTGCCCTGACCAATCTCACCCTTCCCTTTCTAGGTTGGCTGTCTTTGCGCTTCTGCCATGCTTGGAATACACTCTCCCCCATGTCTTCCTGTTGAGGTCCCTCTCTTCCTTTAAATCCTTAATTAAGAGTCATGTCCTCCATGAAGTCTTAACTATTTATATTGTATATAATTATATATACAATATAACTATTATATTATAGTATAATAAATAAGCTATATTTATTAACTACCTCTATTTATAGGTAGAAGGGTTCTTAGAAACTTGACCCTAACTGCCTCATTTTACAAATGAGGCAAATGAGTCCCAGTGAGTTTAACTGGCTTGCCCAGGATCACACAACTACTAAGTGTTTGCGGGAAGATTCATACCCAGAATATTTTAAAAATTTTCTTTGGGAGACAACTGGGTGTCAGGTTAAATGCATCATTTTTTTCTGAATGAACAGGCCCAAATGTAATAATAGTACTTATTATAAGGAATTCTCTCCCTTCCTTTTTTGAAAGGACAGTAGTTATCCTGTGAACCAGTGAAGGTATACAAACCATTAAAAGTAGATTAAGAGGCTGTCTAAGAGTGAGCCTGGAATTGTAGAATGGGCAAATGAGCTCGATCCAGAGCTCTGGGACAATCCCAGCTTGGTGGAGAGCATTCTAACACAGATGATGGGAGCAGCAAGTGGGAACTTGGGGGGGTCCTGAGGCATCATCCTTTATGTAGGCTTGGGGAGCATTCTTGGGTCTTCAGGGACACAAACCTTTCTTTGGTGTCCCATAACAAGACAAGGACACTTGGTATTCCAAGAAGTGGAGGGATGGGAACCTTGGTGTCTAGACTCATCCCATAGGTCACTAACCCGGCCTCTAGGATTCTAAGGCACAGAGTAATCACTAGGGCTACCCCAGGCTCAGGGGAAGGAGATGGTGATGAGAGGGGCCCTGTCTGACCCCAGATTTCCTCCTTCCCCTCACTCCATGCCACCCTCCCTTCCCCCAAGGCCTTAACCCCCCTTCATCAGAGTTACTATGTGTTTAGATCATGGAGGCAGGACTTTCGTTTCCAGAAAGGGCCTGTACAAGTACATGGATATGCCCTGGGAGGGCTCCAGGTGCCTTTCTCTATACCTCTTTCAGCAGCATGAACAAGTCTATCATATGAGTGATCCATTGCTTTACGTGGTCCAGAAAACTGGGTCATAAAAGGATGGCACCCAAGTTGGGGGATTTTGGTATGGGTGCAAGGAAGAAGGACCCCAGGTTCCTTCCTCTCCACTCTTTTGCTCTGTGGACACTGCTTGGTTCAATGAAAACAAAACAAGAACTAAAATGAATGAGAAGGAAGCCCTTTAATGAAGTGGGGGAGGGGATGTCAACAATCAGAGGGATGAAGGTAGCACCAAGAGGTAGAAGTGGAGTAGGGATGGGCAGAAGACCCTGGGGCCCTACTCTTTGGACTCTTCCATCAGGAACACACCCCTAAGAGCACAGAGACAGGGGCTATGGTCAGCAGCACTTCCCCAAGCTATAGGGTGAACCCTGGGCTAGGAGTCAGAAGCCTTAGATATCCAGCCTTGTGGCCTAGCTAGGGAGAGGCTTCTCTGTACCCCAAGAGGTCATCGGGAAGAATCCAACTCCTCCTCTCGTGGCCCCAGACTTGGGGTAGACATTAGGGGTGGACTTGAATATATTATGTAAAAATGAAAATGAGAAAGGAGGGCAGTGTCATGGTGCTCATGTCACCAAATTAGGCTCGCCAAAGAGACCATGACCCACCTTCTCCATCCCCATTCCTGAGGCAATGCATATGGCAATGAGAGAGAGAGAGAGAGAGAGAGAGAGGAGAGAGAGAGAGAGAGAGAGAGAGTGTGTGTGTGTGTGTGTGTGTGCATATCTGTGAGTGATGGACAGGCAGGAGAAAGCCATTGGTTCTAGTTGCTCAGGAAACATCCAAACATTTCTTTCCTTCCTCCCATGATGCCCCACTCTTCACCTTCTCCACAGAAGCTACCGTTGCAATTTTCAAAGGGGGCAGTCAAGTATTTCACTTGAGTGTCCCCTTGAGAATGGTATTCTTCCTTCACCCCACACCATGGACTCCATCCCATGGAAGTCAGCCTTCTCTTTCCTGGCCCTCCCACCGCAAACCACCCAGCCTTCATCCAATGAGCACTCCCCTCTACTTCAGGGGACTGGTTGAAGAAACATCCCCATCAGGTCCTCTATCAGGGCTTCCTGAAAGAAAAATTATTCAAGAATTACAAAGGAGCAACGTTATCAGGAGCCCAGGGACAGAAAACTGGTCTGGGACCTTTTAATTAGCAGTTCTCTATTTCCTCAAAATTCTCCTCAAATTGTAGGATAGAGGCAATACAGGCCCCATAGTGATTCCAGGATCAACTGGTAAAGTCAAAGGTCAGCTGCTCTCTACAGCCCAGTCCTGGAGAGTCTAGTGACCTAGAATATATAGGGTATATATATATATATATATATATGGCATATATAAAAAAATTTATATTTATATATAAATATGTATATTTATTTATATATAAATATGTGTATATATACATTAATATATGTATAGATATATAAATATGTGTATGTGTATATATACATATATATCCCTAGCACATAGCACAGTGCCTTGAATATGGTAGGTACTTATGGCCTGACTAACTTCTTAATCCTTATTTCCTTCTTTTCTCTTTATTTTTCCTCCCTCCCTCTTTCTTTCCTTCCTTCCTCTTTCTCTCTCTCTTTCCTTCCTTCATTCTTTCTTTCCTTCCTTCCTTTCTTTCTCTTCCCTCCTTCCTTCCCTCCTTTTCTTCCTTCTTTCTTTCCATTATTTCTTCTTTTGTCTCCTTCCTTTTCTTCTTTATCCAATCTCTTAAAAAGGAAAATAGTTGAAATCCAAATGCAGAGTCCTCTCCCTAGTGACTCCAGGGAAGCCTTGACTTCTCCCAGTCTGATTTTTGAGTTGGGCGCCTGATACCCTCTCAGACTTTAGGACCTCTGCTGCCAGAGGGGAAAGGGGAGGGGAAAAGCTCACCTGAAGAACTAGCATCTCAGCTGGCCATGATGTGCTTCACAAACGCTAGAAAGAAGCCCAGGATGGAGAATGGGTTAATATGTACATGTGTAGGTATTCCTCTCCCTCATCAGACTGGGAACTCAATGATGGGGAGTGGCCGTGGGGCAATATGAGGTTTGTCTCCCCTTCAGACCAGTGCTGTAGGGAAATGACTGGGAGGAATTTCTTGCACCCATTTGGCAGGCCCTTATTTGCAAGGTCAGCTCCTGAGATGGAGGATTCTATGGCTCTTCTATTGCTCCCTCGTGTCCCCTGCAAGAACAGGTCCCCCTCCCCAGATCATGAGTCCCTTGACCCTTTGGGAGGAGCCTCCCTCCCTTCTTCTGTCTCTCACCTTCATAGTTGATACATCCATTGGCATCTTCCTGTCCAGCCATCAGTTTCTCCACCTCATCTTCAGTCAGTCTCTCACCTAGAGGGGTTTAAGGGCAAGACTGGAGTCCCACATGTTCTGCCTATGATACTCTCTGGCTGGAAAGGATCTCAGGAGAGCTCATCCGTTCATAGGATCTCAGAAGTCTATATGGAGAGCTAGAGGAGAACCTTGGGAGACAGTGTGGTTCAGTGGAAAGAGCACTGGGTCCAGTGTCAGAAGACCTGGGTTCAGATCCTCCTCTGATGCTTACTACCTGTTTGTCCTTGGACAAATTGCTTGACCTCCCTGGCCTTTTTCTCTTTTTCTCCCTGGCATTTTTCTCAACTGTAAAATGAGGAGATTGACTGGCCAGCTCGTCCAGTCCGTCAAGCTCCAGAACAAGGCTCCTACGGGAGCTCTAGTCCACACAACCCCCTAGATAGGTAAGGAAACTGAGGCTCAGAGAGGTTACATTACTTGCCTAAAGGTCACACAGGAAATAAGTGGGAGAACCAGAATCTGAACTCAGGCTCTCTGACTCCAACTCCAGCACTCTTTCTATGGCACCATTCCTTTCTCTAGCTCCCATGCTTGGACCACACTCCATCCTCACCTCTGACTTTTAGAATCCCAAGCTCACCTTCAGTGCCACCTTCTTCCTATGAGAGGCCTTCCTGGATGTCCATGGCTCCTCCCCCCCCCCCCATTAACTGAAAGTACATGGCAGCCAGTTGTTCAAATCCTGCCTTAGACATCGCCTCGCTGTGGGACCCTGGGCAAGTTACTTAACCTCTGTTTGCCTCAGTTTTCTCATCTGTAGAATGGGGATAATAATAGCACCTACTTCCCACGGTTGTTTTGAGGATCAAATGAAGTTATATTTGTGAAGTGTTTTGTAAACTTAAAAAGCAGTAAATAAATACAGGATATTATTGTTAGTATTAGTATTAGTATTATTATATGTGCATATTTGTGTTATTTCTCCTCATGGAAAGTAAGCACATAGAAAGAAAGCTCCACAGAAAGTAAGCTCCTTGAGGGCAGGAACTGTTTCATTTTTGTCTTTGTATCCTCAGCACCTAACACATGAGCTGTACTGCTTAGTGAGCGCAAGCCAAGGACATGCAGGAAAGCAGATTGTTAAACTTTCGACGTGAGCCTTTACATCTCAGAAACAAGCAAATGCTGCCAATTAGGACTTGATTTACTGTTTCACCGATTGTCTAGACTTAAGAAAGTGATGGAGAAAATGTTAATAATGCAGATTAAACTTAAAATTTTGTCCTGCATATAGTTGGGGGGAGTTTTGGACAGCTAGTTGTTAAACATCCACCAGCACAACCCTGATGCAAACGATTACTACGTCTTTATAGGTATTGATTCCCCCATGAAATAATAATAAATAATAACTAACATTACAATAGCACTTACAATGTTCAAGGAACAGTGCTTAGTGATTTATAATCACTCTCATTTGATCCTCACAATAACCCTGGGAGGTAAGTGCTATGATTATCCCCATATTACAATTGAGGAAACTGAGGTTAAGTGATTTCCCCAGGGTCACACAGTGTCTAAAGCAGGATTTGAACTCAGATCTTCCTGATTCTAGACCCAGGCCTCTATCCATTGTGCCACCCAGTTCCCCAATTAGAATGTAAGCTGCTTTAAGGCAATGACTATCTCACTTTTTAATACATATTTAAGCACATAGTGGGTTGTTCAATTAATCCTTTCATTCATTCATTCATTCATATATGACTATAGACAAGTTATTCTAATCCTCTGAGACTTTTCCTCATTTGCAAGATAGGAAAGACAACAATACTTAGGGTATCTACCTCCCGGGGTATTATAATTAAAAGTGTTTTGTCAATCTTACCATGTCCTGTAAATGTGAGACAATATATTAAAACCTCCAGCGGGTGGTAGCTCAGCACTGCCTGAGGCAGCTCATTCAGCTTTTGGACCCCTCTGCTGGAATTCTGGCTCTTTGTCACTTCTGACCATTACTCTTCATTCTATCCTCCCTTCCTCCCCCTGGCACTATAAGCAATAAATCTATTTTCTTTTCCACTTGAGGATGCTCAGAGACAGCTTTCATGTCCTCCCACATCTTCTCTTGTATAGGCCTGACGAGATGCTTGGACACCAAGATGTCCAGTTCCTTTACAGGGAATCCTGGTCATCCTTCTCTCATGGCAGTTGTTTAAAATAATATAATAATATAATAATTGGGTGACCGTCCAAGAGAAAGTATAAAATAAAAGACTTGTAATTTTGTTATTGTGAGGAAAAGCAAAGTTCACCAAGGAAGGTCAGCAACCATCCTACAACTGTTTAGTCTTAGAGAGTTTTCTGGGGCATGCTCTGTCTACTTTGCCACAATATCTTTCAATGTATCAGCATCCCTCCTTAAATGTTGCACCTAGAACAGAACACAGTGCTACAGGTATAACCTGACCAAGGCAGAAAACAGCAGAAATCTTTTATTCTAAATGCTTTGTGTCTCTTAATATTAGATTTAGAAAAAAAAAATCAAACTAGCTTTAATTATTAGTCTCAATAACTAATTAGCATTAATAATAATAATAATAATAGCTAACATTTATGTAGCATTTTAATGATTATGAAGTGCCAGATTCTCAAAACACTTCTGGGAGGAAAAGAGATGCTATTATTATCCTCATTTTACCGATGAAGAAACCAATGTTAAAAGAGGTTAAGGGATGGACCTAAGGTCACATAGCTATGAAGTGTTTGAGGCAGGCTTTGAACTCAGGTCTATCCTGGATTCAAGTCCAGTACTTTATTCACTATGCCACCTAGTGGCCTAATGTAATATTACCTTTAGTATGACCAAAGATCATATTAGTTATTTCGTTTGTCGTGTCATATGACTGATTTATATTGAACTTATAATCCATTAAAGCCCTCAGTCCTTCAGGACCAGGAAGACAGAGAAGATTGTCCGAGAGAAAAACCTCCGTTTTGGGGCGCTCCTCTGTATTTTCGCTTTTTACGTTGCCTTAGGTTGGTAGAAGGATGGATTTAGTCATTAAATAATTGCATATTAGTCATGTGACAAGAGTAGAAGGTCTTGAGATGGGGTCCCCGAATCCACTGTGATCCTTCTACAACTCAGAAGTTTCTGCCTTCATATTTCTGCCTCTCATCCCTGATTGTTTCAAAACCACATTTAGGACTTTGGTGTATGAGAGGAAAGGGGGATGCTATGTGGCAAGACTACATTCTGGTGACAGCCTAAGAGAAAGTATAAAATAGGCACCAATCCCTCCAACACTGGGCATTGTCAGAAGCCAAGATGAGGCACTGATGCTCCCCCGACAAGGCTGGGAAATTATGCCCTCCTGTGTTTTACTGACAAAGAATTTATGCCTTGACTATAATGAACAGCTTCACTCAACATAAATCTCTGGAGGATGTGGTTAACAATAGGGGTGTACTGTGACATCCTTTAAGTTTAATCTTCATTATTAATATTTTCTCCTTCACTTCTTAAGTCCAGACAATTAACAAAACAGTAAGTCAAGCCCTGGTTGATTTCCAGGGTACGTATTCACAATGAAAATTTAACAACCAGCTCTCAAGAGCCAGTCCAAGCTGGTCCCAGCACATTCTTATGTAACAATATAATGTTATGGAACAAATAAAGACAGGACAGGACAGTTGAGCTGTGGGGTCAGGAAGGCAGCAGCTGTGGTTATTAACCCCAAAAAGCCCCAGGTGGTGAGGGCTGCCCAGAAGGAGCACGGGAAAAGAGGAAGAAGCAAAGCATTCACGACTGATGCTGGAGACTAGTCTTCATAATTTTTAGTACTGGAGATCCATAGCTTCAGTGGATGGAAAGAGGAGGAAACAGGTAAGACTTCATCATAGCTATGCAAGGGTCAGGCGTTCCTAGGGATCTTTCCTTTTGTGTTTGCTGCTGTATTTCCCCTGGGCTGTCATGTGTGCCTGGGAAACTCTCACCTGACCATGCATAGTAGCAAGGTGGTATCGTTGATAGAGCACTAGACTTGAAGTTAGGAAGATGAGTTCAAATCTTGTTTGAGATACTTACTAGCGTGTGTGTGTGTGTGTGTGTGTGTGTGTGTGTGTGTGTGGCCCGAGACAAGTCACTTAACCTCTGTTTGCCTCAGTGTCCTCATCTGTCAAATGGGGATAATAATAGTACTTGCCTCCCAGGGTTGTTGTGAGGATCAGATGAACTGTAAAGTGCTTAGTACAGTGGCTGGCTCATAGTAAGTGCTATAGAAATATTAGCTATTATTATTATTAGAGCACTAGACCTGATATTAGGAAGACGAGTTCAAATCCTGCTTCAGATACTAGTTCTATGATCCTGGCAATTCATTTAACCTCAGCCCAAGTTTTCTCTTCTGTAAAATGGGGATAATAACAGCACCTACTTCACAAGCGTTGTGGGATTACTGAGTTAATGTGGGGTTAAAGTTGCGGATTAATGGATGAAATAACACATATAAATGCTAGCTATTATTATGCTGTTCAAAGTCTTGGGAGGCACGGATGACACTGAAAAGATTGGCTGAAACACATCTGTACCATGAGGTCAGAGAAAACTGTGTTCTTGACAACATACTCTTGAGGTCTTCCCTCTGCCCTAGGGCATCTCTGAGTTAGAGGTCAGGGGACGCTGACATAATAAAGGAGGTGACAGATAGGGTTCCAGGGAGATTCAGGTCTTTGCCTTATGTTTCTCCCTAGCCTGCAGCTAGCCATGTTTCCCCAAGCCATCTCAAGGGCCTCATGGGGCAGTAGGTAGGTAGGTAGAGACTTACCTAGGGTGGCCAGAACGTGGCGCAGCTCAGCGCCCATAACAGTTCCATTGCCTTCCTTGTCAAAGACCCTCAGCCCCTCCACAAAATCCTCAAACGTGCCTTTGTCCTTGCAGGTGGCAATATGTTGCAGCATAGGCAAGAAGGTTTCAAAATCCATCATTTTGGAGTTGAGTTCTGGGGACAGAGAAGGGAGATGGGGAAGTTAAGAGCAAATAGTAGAAAGAGCACACACACGCACATGCACACATACTTGTCTGTGGCCCAGGCCTATTTGGGAAGGAGCAAGGTACCTCTTGTAGAGATTTAAATGAATTACGGGGAAGTATATTGGGATGTCCTCCAGTGAGATAGGTCAGGAGGCATCACTTACCCTTGGATCTAACATCCTCTTAGTCTATCTGCCTGGTCTTTGTTCCCCAACGTCCTTGGGACCTTGGCATCTGCTCTAGTACTTTCCCCGCCAGAACCTAAGGCCTACCTAGGCTTTCCATCTGCCATGAACCAAACATGAACATAAGCCTTCCTTTAGGTGTTGTCCCCCCAGTTAGAACGTGTTGAGGTCTCACATTCTGGAGGTCAGCGACTGTCTCCATTTTCTATTTGTATACTCAAAGCTTAACACAGTGCTTGACATACAGTAAGGCCTAATAAATGCTTTCTAATACTGCTCTGTTTTACATGGTTGGAACCAATCATATGACTTTCTTCTGCTTAAAACAACTCAATTATTCCTTGTTGCCATTTGAGTGAAATTCAACTTCTTTGACTAACATTCAAGGTCCTCTACAACATCACATATACCTTCTGAAGACAACAATCCTGCTAACCCAGAGAAATGACTTTAATGAGAATTCTGAGACAAGGATTAGAGAAAGTGGCAGATTGTTAGGTTCCCCTTACTTGAGGCACAGACATTATTCTAATCACTCCCTACAACCCCAAGGTAGACTGAAGGGCTTAACAGGTGTCCAAAAATATGGCTGCCCTTGGTTTAGTGACTTAATTTCATCACCACTAATCCCTTTGATCTTTTCTATGCCTAAGACCACTGATAAGCATAGCTGTCTGTCTGTCTGTCTACACAAGACCCCTCAAGGGCATCACTCACAAAGAAGCCCAGACAGAATGATCTCTAGGTGCATGTAACCTTCTGCTCTATAGTAATAAGGGTCTCTCTCTCTCTCTCTCTCTCTCTCTCTCTCTCTCTCTCTCTCTCTCTCTCTCTCTCTCTCTCCCTCCCTCCCTCCCTCCTCCTCCCTCCTCTCTCTCCTCCCTCTCTCTCTCTCCTCTCTCTCTCTCTCTCTCTCTCTCTCTCTCTCTCTCTCTCTCTCTCTCTCTCTCTCTCTCTCTCTCTCTCTCTCTCTCTCTCTCTCTCTCTCTCTCTCTCTCTCTCTCTCTCTCTCTCTCTCTCTCTCTCTCTCTCTTTCCTTTAAAGCCAAAGGATTCCAGTCAAGCAGTTAGGTGACGACTAATTTCCAATGGACAACCTATTTCACCTTGCTTAGATGAGCTGGCTACAGGCGGCCCCAGCTTAGGAAACTAGTGCCTGCCTTGGGAATTATTGTCTGCAGCTGCTACCTTCCCATTCCATTAGTGAGCTTCCCTGGCTTCCTTGCTGTGCTAACAACCCTGAACAGGGAGAAATGTGGAGGCAGGTAGGATTTGGTAAAAGCACCTCTCATACTGAACTGCTTGGGGTAGCTGCTTTCTTTCTCTATGGGTAGGTCTAACGTCACTTACCTTCCTGCTTAGGCCTCCCCAGCACCCGAAGAACCTCAGCCTGGGTTGGATTCTGACCCAGTGCTCTCATCACATCCCCACACTGCCCATATGTGATCTTCATCTCCATCTTGGGAGTCCGATCGAATAGGGAGAAGGCTTCCTTGAACTCTGGTGGGGTGAGGTAAAAACATCAGATGAATACGATGACATGGGGAGTGCTCACAAAACAGAATGAGGCAGGGAGTGAATGTCCTCCTCTGATTCTTTGTCCCAAATGTCCTCCAAAACCCAGGGTTCCAGAGCAACTATTGCTTTTGAAGCTAATCATGGTTAGGTTAGTATGATTTCCTGAAAGAGGTGGGTGGGGTCAGTGTCTTTCACCTCAGGCTGGCATTTTTTTTTTTTGGCTAGGTAATGGGATTAAGTGACTTGCCCAGAGTCACACAACTGGTAGGTGTCAAGTGTCTGAGGCTGGATTTGAACTCAGGTCCTCCTGACACCCCCCTCCTCCCCCCCCCCCCGGGGCTGGTGCTCTATCCACGGTGCCACCTTGCTGCCTCCAGGCTGTGTTTTCTATGGCAGTTAGGAGGAGTGAAGGAAGAAGGTCTCTAAGGGCAGGAGCTGTTTCCCAGGTGAGATGGGGAAGGAATTCTCTGAAGGTAGCAGCCTCAGACTAGGTGCTCCCAGAGGCAAGGGCTGGGCCTCTTTCCCTCAACTTAGGGATTCCTTGAGGGTAGGGGCCTTGTCTCCTCCTCAGACTGGGGGCTTTCAGAGGATGGGGGTTGTGTCATCTCTGGCACTAATGCCTAATATATGATTGGACATCCTAGAGTGGCTGAGCAAGTTGACCTATTGACTGACTAATAATCTAAGTCCTAGATGAGGGCAGAGGGGCCCAAAGCTACTCACCTTCTATCTGCTCTGGAGTGAACTCAATCTGGAATAGAAGACAGAAGAGAAATTCTTAATTACTGCCCCTGGACTCTCAAAAGCCCCCTCAGCAGAGCGCAATTAAGAGACCCAGCCCTGACACCCAAGCTGGGGCTATCTGTTCCATGTACAGAAATATGCCTTGGAGGTTCATTATTAAGTGTTATGATGAAATATCATTAATTGAATGGCGAATATTCAGAGAAGAGTGACCAGGGTGGTGGAGAATCTCAGGACCTCTCATTCCTTCCAAAAACTGGTTGAAGGAACTGGGTATCTTTAGCCTAGAGAAGAGAAGGCTTAGGGGAGAATGTGAGCCTTGTCTTCAAGCCTTCAAAGGGTTATCAGGTAGAGGAAAGATTAATCCTGTCTAGCTTGGCCCCAGAGCAGAACTAAGGATAAGGAGTGGCCATTACAGAGAAGCAGATTTCAGTTCAAGGAAAAATTTCTACTGATTAGAACTCTCTCAGAGTGCTTCAGGAGGTAGTGCCCCTTCCCTAGGAGTCTTCAAAGGAAGTCTGCTATGTTACAGTCCTTGTTAGGGCATGGGGCCAGAGGATCATAGAATTAGAAATGGAAGGGACCATAGAGGTCATCAAAGCCAGCAACCCCACTCTACAGATGGGAAAATGAAAAAGAGAGGCTATGTCCCTTGGCACAGAACTAATAAATGTCTGAGGCAAGATTTGAACCCAAGTCCTTCTGACTTTCCCTGGCCATGATTGTATTATGCAGCCTCTGAGGTTTTCTGAAGTCTCTGATTCTGTGAATCTCCCCCACACTTTTTCACTGTGTTTTTTCTTTAACATTTGAGTGATATGTGAGATATCCTCCACGAGTTATATGGCCAAGAGGATTGGACTTTTATACTGGAGACTCTTTTTTGGAGAGACATAGAAGAATTGGGGTCCCTGCTACTAGGGGACAACAGTCAACCCCAGAAGCCCTCTTAACATTTCCTCCTCCCTAACTCCAAGGGTGAACTCCCCAAACCCAGGGACAAATCCAGGTTTCCTCAAATATGGAGAGAAGAAAGATGATCCCATTCAAACAGTGTGTATGTATGAGTGTGTTGCTATGGGATAGGGAAGGAGAGCAGGGAGGCAGAATCACAAACATTTATGGCTCTTCCCCCAGACAGGTCCCTCAGTCATCACTGGCTCTGTCCCCCAGCAACTGACACACACCCAGCCCCACTCACAGGGAACCCAGTGTCTCAGACAGGCACGCTGAGCTGAGTGAGACCAACCACACCATGGAAACTCTAAACTGGGATATGAATGGATAGGAATGTCCCATACTGGCCACAAGGGCCTCTTGGTTGGGGTGGAGTTGGGGAACCAGGGGAATTGCTACAGAGGGGAGAAATGGGTCTAGCTCTACAACCAATCCCCATGCAGAAAGAGAGAACCCAAGGATAGCCTGAACTCCTCAGCAATCTGAGAAAGTCTCCAAGAGGAAGAGGGATATCTCCCCCCCCCATTTTGAAATTTCATTTCAGCAGTTGATGAAGGCATAGCAGAAAGATTTGGAAGCTGCTCTGCTGCTTTCTTTCCATATGGCCTTGGGCACATCACCCCTTAGTTCCTCATTCCTTTGTCTGTAAAATGAAGGGGTCAAATTAGGGGCTCTCTAAGGCTCCTCTGGGTTTTAAAATCCTATTATACCCTGACTCTAGGGTTTTTAGGGTAGAAGAGCCCTGTGAAGGCCAGGAGGTGAACACCCACAGCATGGAACTCTAAAGAAGTGCCCACGAGTCCCTCCAGCCACCTCCTTCCTCCCCATTCTCCACTCAGAGATCTTGGCCATTGGCCCAAGGCCCTCAGAGTAGACTGTCCCTCTAGCCCAGACAGACAGAGGCAGAGCTGCTATGTGTGGACCAGTGGAGCAGGCCTAGAATAAGTAAAGGACAGTAGATAATGCCCCACAGATAATGCTCTTTCCTTCACTCCTGACAGCCTCTTGCAGTCCTAACATCCCAGCATCCTTCATAGCATCGAACCCAAATCTCTCTCTCTTCCCCAATCTCATGCTTTACTGAGCTGTGAGCTCTTTGAGGGCTGAGTAAATGAGCCTTGCATTTCCCACAGTGTCAAACACAAGATTTTGTACATGGTTCACAAGAAACAGCGTAGTTAACTTGAAGAGTCCTGGGCCTGGTGTCGGACTGGGTTTGGAAACCAACTCACACTTCCTAGCAAACCATTTCATCTCTCAGGGGACTCAACTTTCTCATCTGTAAGACAGAAATATGATTCTTGTTCTACCCACCTTCCCAGGGGGGCTATAAATAAAGCCATAAAGGTGAGTTATTGTTATGAGAGTCAAAAAGTATCAGAGATGGGAGAGGCCCTGGACACTATAAAGAAACTGGGGCCCAGGTAGAGTCAGAAAGCAGACATGGGAGATGAACCCAGGTCTTCAGAGTCTAGTATTCTCCCCACCACACCAATCTGAAGAGTGGAAACAATCCACCTTCAGCAGCATGGGTGCCTTCTAGAATTGCCCAGGCCCACCCCTCCTGCCCCTCTCCCAAGGCTGACCAGGGAAGAGTCACCCCAGCTGCTCTCCCTGATTTTTTTTCTCTCCTTTCTCCTGAATCCTCACTACCACCCTGCACTGGAGCTGTGGAAGCAGCCAGATCCCAAGCTCCAAGGGTCACAGAGAGAAAGATTTATGAGGTGTGAGCTGGATCTTCGCCTGCCTGGCCCCACTGTGCCTGGGCACCCATCAGGGCAGGCCTGCAGCTGGGGCTTTTGATGCTATTTTCTCCCTCAGAGAAGGCAACCACAAACAGGCCCAGGGTGTAAGTCATCATTTCCCACTGCAAGCCGTATGTTCCAGGTCTAAACTGAGACCAGAGGGAGGGGGAGTGAGAGAGTGTAAAAGAGTCTGTGAGAGACTGAGTATGTGTCTGAGAGACAAAATGAGACAGTGAAGACAGACAGGGAGAGAGATAGGGATAGGAAAGACAGAAAGGCAGATACAGAGAAAGACAGAATGAGGAAGAAATACATCAAGACGGACAGAGAGGGAGAGAGATGGGGAAAGATGGAGATAGAGAGAAGAAATATACAAAGACAGAGTCATAGAATGAAGGAGAGGGAAAGAGACAGAGAGGAAGAAGGAGGGATACAGAGAGAGATGGCGAAGGGGAGGGGTGTGTGTGTATGTAGCTATTGGAGCATACAGATATGTGTTTCTAAGTACTTGAGCTGTATCTGTGACTTAAGCCAACCTTGGACACAAAACATTAAGATCCATTTTTCTCACAAACAGCATAAAAAAAAAGACACTGTAATCTTCTGTCTCTGACTTAGCAGAGGTGTGGGAAAGGAACAGCAGTGAGTCTGAGGCCCGAGACATTGCCCTGTGTACTCCCCTGACATGGGAGTGAAAGCTGCCAGTGGGAAACAACCATTTTTTCAGAGCCCCTCCCCCCAACTCAATTCCAAACAATCCTCCACTTATGGTCTGGGAAGGGGGGTCATAACAGAGGGAGGGTCCTCTGAACCTGGGAGGGTGGGCAGCTCTCCATTCTTTGCAGGGAGCAGAAGGCCATCGTGAATCTCCTTCGTTTTTGGATTTTGACCCTGGTTGGGAGCTAGGTTGCCTAGACACAGTACCCTATTGGACCACCCCACACTTGAGCTCCCTCCCTGAAAGCTTGAGCTAACTAGCCCTGGATGATCTAGAGATGGATTGTGAGGGCCAGCAATAGAGGGAGGGGACAGGTGAGGCACAGATTCACAAAAGCCCAGTTTTGAAATAACAGCAATAATAATAACTTACATTTATGTAGGAAGATTAAGGTTAATAATAGCCCATTTCCCCCCATTTGTTCTATTTCTTCTTTCACAACCTGACTAATGTGGAAATGTGTTTAATGTGATTGCACATGAATGACCTATATCAGGTTGTTTGCCATCTTGGGGTGGGGAGAAGGAAGGGAGGGAGGGAGAAAAATTTGGAACTTAAAATCTTATAAAAAAAAAAGAATGGTGAAAACTATCTTTACATGTAATTGGAAAAAATAAAATACTATTTACAAAAAAAAAAAAAGCGGGTGATGCAGGTACCATGAGGATTATTATCTCACTGAGGGGCAGTGAGAAGCAGTGGAAAGACGTTTGGTTTGGAGACAGAAGATTTGGGTTCAAGTCTCAGTTCTTCTGCTGATGGCCACGTCACTGAATGGCTCACTCCTCACTCTTGTGGCCTTCTCCTGTCCTATAGTCTAGGCCCTGTCCCTTCCAGATTTTAAGTCTTCGCTTTCTTTGGACTCTCAGTTCCTTGGCAGAACATGGGACAGAAAGAAGGCTGTGTGAGATGAGAGGCTAAAGCAGTTTTTCTGACAAGTCTTGAAGAAAAGGATGGGCTCTGAAATCAGAGAACCTGAGTTCAAATCCAGCCCCTGTGTGTGACCTCAGATAAGTCACTTAGCTTCCCCGGCTCTGTTTCCTCACCTATGCACTGAGAAGGTTGGACTACAGGGCCTTTTTAGTCCCTTCCAGTTCTAAATCAGTTGGCCCCTTTCTCCTCATGCCCATTATGGGCTCCCTCTAACCTACTGACCAAGGCAGGACAGGGGCAGAGCTCCCATGCCTTGGTGAAAGTGTGTGGGAGAAGAGAGATTGGGATGGGGGAGGGAAGAGGGATGGGGGACAAGAGATAGCCTGCTGGGGCCTCAGTTTCCTCACCTGTAAATGGAGAAGCATGGACTAAATGGCCTTGTTCTAAAACCTACAAGTCTATGGTCCATTTTACAGAATAAACCAAGACTCAGAGTAAGTAAAGAGCCTCCTGACTTCCAGTCTAGTGCTCAGAGAGATGTAGGATTGGCCCCCTCAAGGCTAAGGGGACCTCTGAGAGGCTGTCAGTCTCCACTCTCTGCTTATCTACAAACCAGGCACTTTATTTTTATCTCAGCTCCCTTGGCCCCTCTGCATCCTATACTACGGTCCCTGGGGGTCGGGGCAGGAGGAGGGGCTGTTGTCTAGAAAGTGT